TGGGTTATTCATCTGGAGAAACTGAGAAAATGACTTGAAAATGCCAAAGACAGGCTGGCAGATGGAGTTTTCTCATGTGGCATTCACACTTGAAAAGAATTTACATATTTTCTCTCACTTCCTCGTTCATGCAAACAAGGAAGCAAACAAATGCTATCTCCCAGTTTCAGAAGAAAAGGCAGAAATACCATAACCACTGAAAGAGAGCTTAAACATAAAAACCCTTTGGTGGACTTTGTCTTCTAGAGTTTATGACATTTCTCTGACATCAAGTGGTGCTTCTGACCCTCAAAGACACATTTCTGTGAGCAACAAGCTCTGATTCTGTGTCACTGAGTAAGATAGAAAGTGCCCCACTGCTGTGCGTGAGCAAAAACCAAATCCACAGATATTTTTAATAATATGGTGATGCACTGAGACTGGATTTTGACTGCTATACATGCCACTTATAATAGAAAAAAGGAAAAAAAAAAAAAAGTATGTGCAAAAATGTATCCCCATTACTTATTCTGAAATCCAAATCATTCAGAATTGTTTTAGATTGAGAGAGAAAAGGACTGGGACTCCTATTTAAACCTTAAGTGGATTGTTTTGCCTCCTTATTGAAACAATCATAATTAATGAGGAATTTAATTCCAAAAATATTCTTGAAAATAAGTCACACCAGATTTGTGTTTTGGTTTGGCTTGCCTTTGGGTTGATGACTTTGTAAGACATATTTTCAATAAAGAACAGTGCATCTCCCATGCTACCTAGTGTATCTGCCTCTATCGAGCAGTCCTGTAGCGCTCATGAGTGCTGTGCTCTCATGTACACATGATTTTTTTTTGTATAAAGCTAATTTGTTTTAAGACCCAGAATTCCAAAATACTCCAAACCTGCAATTGTTTCATCTAGATTTGTGAGAGCAAACTGAACTCCTTTGAAAGTGCCCAGAATTACCACAGATTATAAAAAACTGTCCTCTTATTTTTCTGCTGATTTGCTTACACTTGGCTTTGTAATACCCTAAAGAAAAAATAATGTTATGCCCTTCTGCCTGCACTTAAGCTGGGTCTGCTAAAGTGTTCAATTTGAGCTCACGATGAAAGCTACAGCAATTTTTTGCCCTCACAATGCAAAAGGAAATAAAATTAAGGGTTCAGAATGGACTAACTGATGCAGATCAGGACTTCACGATCTCTGCTAAGCTCCTTCTCAGTATCATTTATTACAAGAAAAGGTAATTATCACATAGAAAGATATCTGGGAGGTAAAAATCATACTGAATGCTTGTATGATGATGATGATGAAGTAATATTACTGCCTTTCCAGTGCTACCAAAGGCAAAATTGCCATTTACTTCATTTTTTAAAAATTAGTATTTTTAGGTCTTATTTAACAAAGTTCTCAAACCAGTACTTTAAGCATGTAAGTTAAGCCTCTTAGCTGGAATGTGACAGTTAATACGCTGATGTTAAGCATGTGCTTAAAGTCAAGAGCTTTTGGTTGGTCATTTTAACTTGTTAAAAGGGAAATAAATGTCAAAATGAAGAAAACAAATTTGTAATACAAAATGTATTAATATAATAAAGCATGCTGAAAATATTGCTTTTCTCCTTCTCTTTCTCTCATTTAGTAGTAAAGCTGAGAGTATGCATTTCTGTAATGGATAAAAAGGTTATATATAAGAAAATATTCTGCTCCCTGTCTTACACTGAAAGCATTTTGTATAAAATGGATTGGCATTTGCTGATTCATTGTTTTAAAACCTAGGATCAGTGTCTGCTGAATGGCAATTCATGTGGTCCCATGGTCCTACATCACATGTCCAAGCAACTTGTGAGAAATAATGGAGAGAGCTTTAAAAGGCTGCAGAGAGGTAGCAGCCTGGGAAAAACTAATTAAAGCATGTTTTAAAAATGGTGTTTCTTAAGATCCTGCATTAAAAAACAAGCTCAATGTGAAATAAATGGATTGAGTGTATGCTGAAGTCACTGCAGCTATAGTGTTCCAAGTGCAGATTGTATACGTTTGATTAAGCAGCTCAGTTGGCTTGATTTGGTTTGGCAAATGAAAATCCCGTCTGTCTTTAAGTCATTTTTACCTTCTGGATTTGCATGTATGATATCTGATATATTAATTATATCTATTTTCACAGGTATAGACAGACATATCCCAGAGTTGTGGCACCCGTTAATAGATCAAACAAGCCCATGCAGCTGTGTTTTGATCAGTGAAAAGGTTTCCTGGCATCCACGAACTGAAATCGCCTTTTGGGTATGACAAGCGCGTCTAAGCACCTAGCAAATCAAGGGTTTCTGTAAGGAGGGAATAAGGACACCTACCACAAAAAAATTAGAAGTAAAATAACCTTTAATAACTACAACAATGCAAACGCAGTTGTGTGTATTGCCCTCCATTGGCATTTAGCCATCGATCATTTGCTAGCTCATAAAGCTGATTTGTGCTCTTTCCTCATGTCCCTGTTTCCTGGAGCTGCTGGCCTCTTTTCACCACTCCTTTCCCACAGGCACACACAACTGGGATCCAGACACGCTTGTGTCTCTTCCTCTGCAGCCTTGCTTCTTAGCACGTGAGGAGAGGAGGAACTCTGAGCAGCTCTCATGCATTTTTTATTGTCGAATGCCACTTACGAACTTTGTTGTCGACTCTTGGAAGGTGTCTCAGACGCTAAATGAGCAAACAGGTATAAATGAGAGGAAAACTGGCTTGATTGAATAGGGTTAAAATATTTCATCTTCTTTTGATTTGAAACCCCTTATTTGTGGACTGTCACACTTCTTTCATTGTAGCTTCCCTTTGACGTAAATATATGAGATCTGTGCCAGTCTTCAAGTTAGGAAGTTGAGGTAGATGCAGCAAATCTGTGTCTAAGCAAACTCACTGTGTCCAGCATAGAACAGTTGCTCACCACCAAGGAGCTGTAGCACCAAAACTTAACTTTCAGAAATGGAGTTTTGGCATAACCCAGATATTAGCATCTAGTAGATAAGTGAAGGTTTCAATTTTCTAATTCCAGATCTAATGAGACTTGTGAAGAAACACACACACACAAAAATGCTGACATCTACATTTTATGCCCAAGTATTTGAACTATCATCTTGGGGTCTACAAATTTAAGGCTGTTCTTAGAAGCTTTTAAAAGCTATAAACCACCAAAGGCTTTTGGAAGAAAATTCCTGTGGTTGTTTCCAGGGTTAGACATATATATTGGTTATTTCTTGAGCTTTTTCTCTTCACAAGTAATTTTTATCAAGTAGGCTAAGAATGAAGATTTACCAAAACACTTGATGGGTTTTTACATGGATTGTGTCCTGAGCATTTATTTGCTGCATTAGGCACCTTTTCTAACTAAATGTTGTTTGTTGTTATAGAAACCCATTCTAATGAGAGCTATGTGACCCATGAAATGTTAGCCAACCAAGAGTTTTCAGCTTTCAAGTGCTTTTCAATACTTCTGTTTTCAGATTCTTTAAACGGCATCTCTTCTGCACATGGCACAAGCATGATTCTTTTTCTCATCACTGAGGTTGATTTATATCGCACCACCAGTAGAAAGGGACCTGCAGTATGGGTAGGTGTAATTAGATGGCTTTTAGTATCTCTTTTACACTGCTGGAGTGGCAGAGAGGAGGGTTCAACCTGTGTCCTTATGCTTTTTCTTTCTTGGCTTGGAGGCGTTTTAGCTAGGACTGACGTGGCTGGCAAGCAGGAGCTCCCCGCTCTGGTTCCCGAGCTGCTGCAGAGGGGCTGCCCAGCACCCCGAGCCCAGGCACGCAGCTTCCTCCCATCTGTCTTCACGTAGTGCGTTCCGTTATTTAACTGTCTCTGATCTGACTATATCTGATCATTCCTTCATCTCATTTTCACTTAACCTCTTGCCCTCTACACGGGCTAAGCATCCTATCGTATAACGCCCCAGGGATTTCCTTCTTCCCCTATTCCCCCTTCCTCCACTCTTCCTCCAATTTAGGTGCTTTATGCCACTTCTAGTAATTTACCTGATTACATGGAAGGAACTGTAGATCTTTTTATAATTGCTGTTTTACTTAAAACATTGATTTCTTAGCTCTTGTCTGGTTTCAGGTCATTACACCTCGCTGGAGTTTTCTCTGGTTTAATGTGCACCTCAGGAAGCACAGAGGGGATGGGAGCACGGGGCTCGCTGTACGTTCCTGCATTTGAAAGCAGCTCCATAACATCCACAAGAGGATTCCTGGCACCTGCCTAGTTAAGCTGGATGTCCAATGTTATCTCTCCAGGCAAGTAAGATTCTGGCAATCGCTATAGTCCTATTTCACTTGTTCTCTGTCTTTTTGACACAAACACATTAATTCCCCCAAGCTCCTTTGACAGCTGTAAGAAGTTTTCTCTTTTTTTAATATGATTGATAATATTGAATATTTCTTTTAACCTTTTACTACCACTCCTGGGCTAGGTGATAGTTTCTCTATTTGGATGTTAATCTCTAGCGTGCAGTAGCACATATTGCACTCACCTACTCATTATGGAGCTCATTTGTAATATGCTGCTGTTTAATTTATGACGGTGCCCACCAGGCTCCACCTCACACTATCCCTGCAACATATAATGTCATTCTTCCAACACTCCCATTGCCAAAGGTCACAGACAGCAAACCGCTGCTTAATTCGGAAACTCCTAGTTTAGCACGGAAGGAATGGCAGCCCCTGGGCAAAATCTGACTGTATCGTTTCATATGATGCACTGGAAAGACATACATTGTGGAAGAGTTGCCAATAGCACAGCTTCCCTGGTTCAGTGCAGGAAATGATCCCACTGAAATGTATTGGCAAAATATTATCATCTTTTTTTTTTGCTTTCAATTTCTCAAGGAAAAAAAAAAAAGTTGTCTGAGGAGACACAAATATGTAAAAACAAAAAGACCTCCCAGGCTGACTTGAAATATGTTCAAACTACACATCCACTCCCTGCTCCCTAGAACCCAGTAAATATTTCTTTGGCCCCACAAAACATTTTACTCTGAACCCAGGAAACCTCAGATTGACCTTGGAAATAAGATTCCTCATTTCCAAAGTAAATGTCTCAGCCACACTACTGGAGGAGTTGCACTTTTCTGATTGAAACACATAAAACTTGTCTCTTTTGGCAAACTGGGTAGATTATGCTGTGGGGAACTAGCTGTTTTCCTAATTAACTGACCATAGGCACTTTCAAAATCTCTTTCTCAACTTTTATACCCTGTTACAATGGTGGTGTCAAGATTAAAATATCTTTTTTTAGGCCATTAGGGACCAGGTTTAGCCAGGAAAGGCACTAGAATGTATCTCAGTGGAGATATACTGACCTATCCTGCCAAGCATCTGGTGCATGTTGCTATAGATATTTTATTCTGTCTTCTTTTCAGGTTGTACTGGATGGCTTAGCAGCATTTGATACGATCGGATCCTTTTAGCTTAACTTGAATCTCCTGTGAGATTTCAGATTGCGTAAGTCTGAGTTTAATTATCTTTGTCAATTTGTTTTCTTCTGATATTTTTCTCCTCTGCCAGCTGTATTAACTCTTCTCTCACCAAGACAAGCTATCATGCCCCAGTGGGATATAAATGAAAATACGAAATTTTATTTGACATCGTCTTCTGGCAGTGTGTCTGACTCAGGTTCAGGTATGAATTTCTCAGTTACCAGTTCTGAGCAGGGAAGTGTAAGCGCTTGTTCAGTGTGGAAAGTAGGGACATGGAAGGCCTGAAATTCCTCTTCTGATGACAAGCTGATGTCTATCAACTGGTGCTGAAAATCGCTGTAACTACAGCCAGCCTCTTAGTATCATAACCACTTCCAGGATATCAACACAATTGTATGTTATACAATAGTCTTAATAAAATCAGACCAGTGCAGCAGAGATGGACAGTTCGATTGGCACCTACCACATTAATTGGATTAAACTTGGCATAAATGCCAGCAAAACACCCAATTCAGTGTTAGGTATTAAGTCAACAGGGATGATGCTTTTCCTAAATGGGCCTTCTCGCCATGCAGATCCCAGGGCAGCCTTGTTCCCCAGCCACGTCGGCAGACGTCGTTGGACCCCACGTGCGCTCAGAGTCCCCAGGCCTGCAGGACGAGGCCGTGTGGTGCAGATTTAAGAGCTCCGTGGGGCTCGGGTAATATCCCTGTATCTGAAAGAATGAACCTTCGAACTTTCTTCATTTTCTGATATGACCCTGAGCCTCAGATTTATCAAAACAAAACAGAACAAAAGGCCCTGCTTGCTTTCATTCACTCTATTTTCTGGTTTTGCACTAAGCTGTAAGCAAAGCAGGCATTTTACCTATAAACAGATGGTACAAAATTTGGTCGACGTTTTCCCGGATTTGATGAACACACATCAAGTCCATTTACATGAGCATGGAAAATACTAAAATGACTACCAGCTCTGCACCGGGTCGGACACCTGGAGCATGTTGCTGCCAGCAAGCTCCTGAGGTGGGATATTCTGGCACCGTTGCGGTTCTGGGGATTGGGCCATTTTTGACTCAGGTTATTGCATCTTTTGACACCTGAAGACATGTTCACCTCTGACCCAGAAACATCTGCAACGTCAAACTATAAAAAAGGGAATTGAAATGGAGCCCCTTTTTTCCTTAACCGTTATTTTTATTTTCTGTTGGAAAGGATTTTAAAAGGCCTATGAAATATAAAATTGCTTTTTTTTGCCGTAGTTGCAGAACTGATTTCACTCTTAATCTGCGATGCACTTGCAGTGGATTTCCAGTTGAAAACCTGATCCCCAGGCCCCATGTTGAAGGCCCAGAGCCCAAAGCACTGAGCAGGGCTGCCCTCTGCATCCCTCCGCGTTCGGGCCAGCCCCTGCCTCGTCCTCCCGCCTGCCTCTCGGCCAGACAGTCCCTCCCTCACTGCATTGTCTGCCGTGCGTGCACGGTTGGACTTTCCTTCCTGAAGCCTCACTGACTGATTAGGGACTTGTCTTTGTGTTTTTTAACTCACCAGGCTGCTCTGCCATGGCCCAGCACCAGCCCTTCCAGACCATGGAGGTGGCTTGAGTCCCCTGTGTGAGACCCCAGGGTAGTGCAGCGCTTCGTTGGCTCTCAGCTTATATTCACATGGGAATTTTTACTTAATTTTGTCCGCTAATTTTTAACAAAAAAATAAATAAAAAGAAAATTGAGTTGGGACTATCTCTTTGCCTCTCTGTGGAATAAATGTGCATGTTTAACGGTGGAATGCACATATCTTTGGGTGAATGACACTAGAGAAATAGCCAGAATTATTATTGTGACTTTTAGCCATGGTATAACATGGTCAATTTTGCCTTTCATTTAATGTGAGAGATAGCATAGAGGGCTATAGTATGTTGATAGATGGGGTATTGCTGGAGTTGAGTTTGCCAAAATTAACACATTTCCCTTTGGAAAAAAAAAACTTTGAAAAAGTTTCTCTTTTCTGAGTACACGCATTTTATGTGAGAGCCTTAGAGCTGATTCTGTCTCTCCTAAGTTATAAACCCTTATGGATGTACCATAAAGATGTCCACCTAATGCACAGAAAAGCAGATTAATTGATCACAGTAATATATTCTTATCCACTGAATAAGAGCATTCCACACATTGTTTCTTGTTTTGTTTCTGGCTTGTAAATCTTCATTGTGGGATACAAATGAAAATGACCCAAATATGTATTATTTATGAATAGGACTCTCAGATATTATGCTTTAGATTGATTGTGTTAGACAGGATATAACAGAAGCACAATAAGTCAATGAAAAATAAAAAGCAGCAAAAATGTTTCATGCTAAAAATGTAGTTTCAGTGACATCCCTTATATAAAGGACATTTCCAACACATTGACATTTATATTTATCATGGCTATGTGTGTGATTTACAGTTGTCTGAGGCGCTGAATATCAGGAATATCCATGCACATACACACCCCTTTTGAATGATGGTAAGTCATAGACAGCTGCATTGCCCCTTATACAGCAAGCTTCCCCCCCACACCCTTTTTATTCTTCTTCTCTAGCTTGCGGGAGGCAAAGGAAGCAGTAGATCAATAGGGTGTCTTGACTGAAGTTGCCTGCAGCAGTTCCATTTCTCAGGCTGGACACTGATGCTAACTATCAATAGCAATAAGAGGCTGTCTCAGACAGAATTAAGGCTCCTTCTTCTGCATGGCTGTCTGGTGCTTACTGATAAACATCTTGTGCGCAGGATTGCAACAAATAAACCATTTCAAGTGTGCAAACTAGCCACTGTCATTCTTCCTATTGATACTTGCTCTGGGGTGAAGAGGCTGAGAGTTATTTTCATAGGGCTAATAGATACACATTAGATAAGCATACAGATGGATAGTAGTACAAAGGCATAATGCTATAAAGCATGGAAAGATCATTGATGAAATTTTCTGTGCTCCTCTAGAAACCCTCAGACGACAAAAGACAAAAATATTGACTTATTACTACTTAAGAGAAGCTAGAATCAAATTTAACCGTTTATTAACCTCTGATTTTTAGAAGAATGTTACAAAATATCCTGCCAAGATATTTTATCAGGCTGTTATTCTTTTTTACTACTCCTCTGGATTTGCAAATTTAGTCTGTAAATAGAAGCTAAGAAGGATGGATGCAGCTATGAGATGGATGCGGATGTTGGACAGCATCATGGTCACCTGCCATTCAACCTGAACTAGACTTCCAGTCGCGTTGCTAATTTTGGGAGAACTGGGCCTCTTTAGCCTCCCTCCCTTCAGCAGATCGGTTCCTCAGCTGATGGGTAGCTCTGTGGTGCTTTCTTTGCTTTTAGCCTGAGTAAGGATGAAGAATCAGGTTCTCGGCCCCCACACGTGAAACTCCTACTAAAACACCATGGCCCAGATCTTCTTGGGGGTAAGTCTCATTATAACTCTGCTTCTGCTAGATCCCAGGACTGTTATGCTAATTTACATGAAACGAAGAGCTCATATACTAGTCAGGTGTGTGTGGGGGGGAGTTATTTGAGTTTTGCTTTAACTGGCCACGGGGAAAGTGGTTCAGACTGTCTGCTGCTCTGAATCATCAGAACTTTATAGCCTCTCTCTGGGTGCACTCACAGGAGCAAGCAAATCAGCTCTGAGAGGTCTGCATCATGTGAAGGGATGGTTTGCAGGTTAG